GAATATTGGAAAATGTTTACGTCATCGCAAAATATAGGTTTCATTTATTACAACAATGACTGGATTAATAATCCTACACATGAGCTTTTATGAATTTTTATTGAAAAAGCAACGCTTCTAATATGCAAAAGGTGGCACAACAAACACGCTTTAAAGTTGCTACATAGTTATTAATATTAAAAGTTTCTCCGTGAAGTGCGAGCGGTTAATAGAATACTGATAGAAATGAAGGAAACAACATTAATAAGCATAAACGTAATGCTTAAAGTTTGTTAGATTCAACGTAATCCAAAATACACATTATACTAAGGATGCGTATTGAAAATTTCATACATGAATATTTTCAAACTATTTCCAAGAAATTTGTTCTTAAATGCACATCAGATTTCATGCATTTTTTCCGTAAATTTTATGCTCGATAAATTCTTTATCTTATTTGTAATTGAATAGGATTTCTGCTACACGTCATAAATATCTCTGTAATTCCAAATTACGTGAATTAGAGTGAGTAGAGAGAAGAAAATATTCATTCTTAAAAATAAAACTTTAATTTTGAGATCAGTTCAAAATTGTTGAAAATGACGATCCTCAAGAATCTTCTAATGCTTAAAAGATATTATACCAACACAGGGGTTGGTAGCACCTGATCATTGATACCCAAGGTTAAACGGCAACATCGACATCTTTAAACCTCGGAGTACGGATACAGAATCAGTAACAACCCTAGTAGTATTAATGGTTGGCCAACGGTATCCAACAGTTGGGAGTTCGTTGGGATATAGTTAGTGTTTTTGTCTACAAATTCCAAAAATAGGGCCTACGACGAAAAAGTTATGACAATTTTCCAACGAATATCCAGTGCTTGGCCTACAATTCTTATAATTGGTTAATTAACAAGAAATTTACAATGACAATACAACATTGGTCCACCCAAAGTTTGCCAACATTTAAATATAGTCTTGAAAACGTCAGAAACATTGCTACAACCAAAAACTTGTTTTTTGTTTTCTTATTTATGAATACACTCGCAATTTGTTATTATCGCGCAACACGTTTGACATTTGAAATTTTGTGAAAATAGAGTTAGAGGACAGAAGATTGGAAATAACTTACAATAATTATTTGTACTATGGTCCGTTTTTCGGAAGATGATGCCTGGGAGGTTGGCCTGCCTCGGCGCGTGGCCTGGCGGGAATCCAACGCGAGCTACGTATTTCGTGCAACGTTGTGACCGTCTCAATGCCACTGTGTGTCTCTTTCCATCCTCCAGCACTTCGGCACGAGAGCCTCTCGCTCAGACGCTCGGTAAACCAACTTCCTTCTTTACCCTGCGATTTCCACGTGTAGCGTTTCATAACCTACGTATTAATTCAATTCCCTTTAAATATGCTGCTCAATATTTCGGTACAATACATTCTTTCAAAGGAAATAAACATTTTCTTATTCATGTATTTTAATTTTTGACGTGTGAAAACGTTCAACGTCTCGTCAACATTCTCTGCCATTTCCAGACAATGGATGATTGACGGGCGCGTGATGAACGTAGGTCGTCCTTCTCGAGAGGTTTGTAATACGTGCGATGGAGACAGACGACCGTAGGCGAGGACTGACGTCGACGGTCGCACGTCATTGGCCAAGACGCGAAGAGTGAGAGAGACACAAGTGCCGTAGGTGTCTCGCGATCGCGGCAACACCGCGAAAACTCGGGCCTACCTCCCAGGCATCATTTTTCGAAAAACAGACCATAATTACCTACATGTATAAATTGTACATAATAAATTGTAAAGGTAACTTTGCTGGTAAAATACAGAGTCCTCGCGATTATCGACTCTTTGTTGATATGCGATTATTGTCCAAGACGTCATCCCCACCACTGGGGGGGGGGGGCAGGCCGTGGAACTCGGCAACCGCATACTTTGTTGCCGCAGCGCGCCGAGATTGCTTCGCGTTCACGAGCCGACGACTGAACGTTGGGAGCCCACAAAAAAGTTACATTCCCGAGTGTCAGTGAGACAATACTAATGCAACGATAAAACTTTTTTATTTGTGGCTCTTTATTAATGAAACTTTTATAAATATATTGGTGAGATTTTTCTGATTAGAATGACACCAAACACGACACAATTTGGGTCATATTTACTTATGATTTATCAGAATCTATAATGAACTAATATGAACAGTTTCTACATGAGTAAATATGATCCAAATTGTCATATTTGGTAACATTTTATTCGGAAAATCTCACCAATATTCTAATAAAAGTTTCATTAACAACAAATCAAAAATAAAAAAGTTTCATCGTTGCATTAGCGTTGTCTCGCGTGCCAGGTAACAATGTTTGCGCTCGCGGGACACGGCGGACAAAGCAGGGGAATCTACGACGATTAGTCGAAGCGTTCAATCGTCAGGGACTGCCCAGAGAGCTGTCGACGAATAAAATGTAGCTGGATCACCTCCATTCACATGTATTTTTATTATTGGCCGAAACGGTACACACACAATCGGACTCGGCGAGAACGTCGCAGGCGGGCTACGCAGCCGAGTCGAGTGGAAAGAGATGCTTTCTCTGTCTTTTCTCTACGTCGCTTGTTCTTTGCTATGTCGGAAGACTACAAAAGCGAGTGCCGAGGCTCGAATTTCGGGCAAAAAACGTATTCACGAGGGTCAGAAGCGTTTCGCCTGGTCCACGATTTATCGTCCACTCGCCGACCCAAGTTAGGGACGATAATCGAGAGGAGTCTGTACGTGTTTACCCGTTTAATATACATATACAATTTATTCATGTATATAATTATTATGACAAGTAATTATTATAAATATTATTTCTAGTGTTATACTCCTTCAAATATTTTTAAAGGATTTTATGGAAGTGTAGTAGGTGTAGCCAACTGTCTTCCTATTGTTGGTTTATTGTAGATACTCAATAATTGGCTCTACAGAACGAAACCTCCAGTTGGCCCTTCATATTATAAAGACGTGGACCCTACGTTGGGTATGATCGTTGGCCCAGTTGCAAAAAAGGTGACAATTCTAACTGTTGGCCAACCAATACTGCATCAAAGGTCCATCAAAATGCCAACAATAGTTGCTACTACGGAACCCACTAACTCTACGGCAGTAACCGCAATCAATAAAATTAATAACATACCATCAATAAACATCAGAAATACTGCCATTATGTTCTCTGTGAATTTTTTCATTATTTTCCTCATGAAATTCAAAATTGTTCCAGAATTCACCACTTTTCCGGTCTCAGATCATTCGTACTCCGAGTGTTAAACGCGTCTATTAAAAAAGCAGTTCAATGATCATAAAACAAAGAAAAACATTTCAACCACGCACAGATCGTACGTGATGTTCCATTACACAGTTTCTAAATCAACAGCTACTTGAAGCAGTTCTTAATGATTGTACGACATGAAAAAAAGAAAACAAACGGAAGATGAGACATAAAACCAGTTCCAGACACGTGCAACGCGCATTGCTGCGCAACACTGTTGAAAGGGTCGATTTGAATGGGTCGACGCGCAGCTAACGACTTCGTGCAACCTCAAGCCGAATACGAGCATTCTGACGCGCATCCTGGAAAATATTAGAACGAATATCTATTTGTTATCATGCCTACCCGAACATTAATTCCTGTGCTAAAAAAAGAAAATTATATATTTATGCCGGGCGTATAAAAAATTACTTTTTAAAGAGTTACAAGCCTCCTTTTTCTGTCTAAATTTTACTTTATTATGAACAAAATGTAGCATTAATTTTCAGTATCGTAACAACTTCGCGGGAAGATTTTTTAAATATATTTCCACCGGTCCAGATGTGTATTCACTCTATTGCCGTGACAAATTACTTTTTTACACTCTATGCAGTTGCTTTTCGTCATGTACAAAATTATGGGTGTACAAAACACATCATAGACAATATAAGCCTACGATATGTAGAGCATCGGTAAAAGTATTTGATGTCTTTATAGTTTAATTCCTTATTTATCCCTAATTCCAATTAAATACAGAGTAAAAGAAAATAACAGTACAGTGAAGAAGAACAATAAATGGATATTCTGTTGCAAGTTGCTCGAATGTGAACGGGATTTTGGCCGCGCACCGCGCTGCGCGTGTTCGTGCTCGCTGTTGCGCGTGTCTGGACCTGGCTTAAGGGATCTCCCTACTGTGACGGGTCAAAAGATCGATTTTTTCTTTTTTATATTCTCTCAAGGCTTAATATTTCAAAACTATAATCCCAAAAGGATTTTGCCCGATTTGAAATAATAAGGAAGTTATTAGCCTTTAACCGAAACGGCGCGCCGCGGCACGCAGGTTCAAATCGATACTTTAAACGAGTTTTTCTCAAAACGACATTTTTGTAAATGGCTGCCACTATATCTCAGAAACTATTTGACGGAGTGACTTGAAACTATCTAGGCATGTTCAGTAGGTGCATAGTTCTCTCCCGTACTAGAATGAAGTTGATATTTGCAAAATTCGAATTTTGCAACTTGAAAAACAAGCTACTTTTTTCCCGAAAATCGGCACTTTTTTTTTGCAAAACTCTACCACTTTGTTACTTCTCAATATTTTTTATTCATTCTAGTACGGGCGATAGCCACGTCCATAAAGATTAAGAATCTTTTTTAAATTTTAATTTGAGATAACGTAGACAGCTGATATAATGGCAACCATGGAGGCACCTTTTTTTAGGCAGTCCTGGAAAACTACAGTAACATTTAATCTGTGCTACATTTTCAAATGATAAAAATTAAGCTTATCCTATTAGTGTATACAAATTCATAGAAAAATGTTTAACATCGATATACTTCACAGTCTTTTCTAAAAAAATTTCTGAATTTCGCCTAATTTTTTACTCGTCACAGTAGAGAGACCCCTTAAGACGAAACGATAACGTTCGGACGAGCGTGTATGAACATAAACGTTCGCAAGGCCAAGAAGATGACGCGGCCGTCTCTGTCTCTTTCTTGACCCCTGCATGAAACCGACTAGGATCAGGCCAGAGCGATACGGACGAGGCGATGGCGACGGCAGCTCTTCTGCGGAACAAACCGAGTCCCGGTTCCACGACCCTGGAGGACGTCCTTGACTCCCTCCTCGGGCTGCCATCCGCGTCGCGTACCCCGAGTCCCGGGCCAGGACCAGTTACGACTGGCGCATCTGCCACCATGCGACATCGAACTAACGTCGGCCAGGCCAACGCGAAAGCCGGGAAGAGCTGCAGCGACCTACGCCAAGACCTCCAAGGTAGGAGGACTATGTAAGTTTTCGTTTTGAGGCAGATCCTCTCGAGGGACTCGAGAAAGTGCTCAAAGCCTAATCTACTACACCCGGGGAACTCGCTATATATACGTCATTCCCTGCGTGTGTGTACGTTCACGTTTTGTTTTGTTTTGTTCATTTTTTTTATACCAAACACCTGGCGAGGTTCGATCAGATATTAACAAGGAATTTCGAAATATAAGAAACCTTCATATTCGGGAGTTTTGTTGGGATTCGTCGCGGAACTGGCTTGAAAGTATGGACAGTAAATTTTCGATAAATGCTCGGAAACATTATCGCATTAAGTGATTTTGCTTCCACCCCACTACAGGGAGGGTGAGGGGGATGCTTCTTTGGAACCAGTCAACCGAGTAATTAACATACCAATGGCTTACCTTTCACGAACCAACGGCTGAAAGTGGGGAGCCACAAACAGGTTAAAAGTTTTATCGCTCAGACAACACTAATAATTAATATGAATTTTATCAACATATTGATGAGATTTTTCTTAAAATAATACCACATGCAATACAATATTAATCTTTTGCAATTTGTCAGAAGTAATAAAAGAAAACAAGTTAACATGACGTAAGTAAATACGATCGTAATTATATGGTGTTGGGTATCATTTTAGTAAAAAAAATCTCACCAATGTGCTAATAAAGTTTTCATTAACCTAGACCCACAAATAGAAAGTTTTAATTATTGCATTAATATTGTCTCACCGATGAGCGGGCATTTAATCTTTATCAGTTGTGTTGATCATCGTTGCCGAAAAAATATAATATTTGTAAACAGATAAACTTAAAGAAGAACAAACCATTTATTTTCAATTGCACCTTCTTTTTTCTTATCTTCTTTTTCCGTATTACACATTATTTATTAGCTTTCATAGACAATAATTTACAAAAATTGTGCAGTTTTCAAGGAATTTCTTAGTTTTAAAATATGGTCCTTTAGTATTCCAAATACAAATTACATATTTTTTTTTAGTCTTTATTGATAAAAAATAACCAAGACACATTTCAATTTTCAAAATAAAAAAATATTTTTTACAACTTTTTCCAGGTTTCTTTTATGTTTTTCGTAAACCGTTTGTCGCACAAAAAAGTAATAGAATATAAAAGATGCTTCTTGTCTATATTTACAACTTTTCTCTGATACGTTTTTTGATACATATAGTCAATAACTTAGAGTAGAGGATAATCGAATAAGAATGAGTGCGTTTAAGTAATTATTTAAATGTTTAAAGGACCAGGGGCTCCTTTTTCCCTTATCCGATCGATCAGAAATTTGTTACAGATTATTGTTTTATTAATTGGAACTATTTTGGGGATTTGGGTAGGTGTCGCGAAGAAAATCTTCATCAAGAGTAGGTAAACAAAAGCCACCCTAGTGTTACACATGGAAATGATGGTTTACGTAAAATTTAATATTGTTTCTATTCTGTTTTGTATCAAAGAAAAGACTTTATAAAGAGCATCAATTTATATTTTATTTCTTTTCTCGAAAAAATACAGTAGAAGGCGAAAAGGAATTGCATAAATAGCCACGGTCAAATATTTTAGTATCAATTACTCCCAACTACATTCAAAGCGACAATTGATCGCTGGGACTAATTGTTAGTAATACTTTCTTATGATACTATTATAGTTATAGTAGGGTGTAACAAAAATGTTGGAGGACCCGGAAATGGGAGACACGTGAGGTGATTTGAAATAAGTTTTCCCTTACCAAAAATGTTATCCGAGGCTTTGTTAACGAGATATTAACGAAAAACGCCGACCAATTAGAGCGCGAGTCGGCCGGCCGAGTTTCCGCGGTAACGTTGGTTACCAATCGCAGCGCGTAGCCAACGTTACCGCAGGAACTCGGCCGGCAGACTCGCGCTCTAATTGGTCGAGGTTTTTCATTAATATCTCGTTAACAAAGCCTCGGATAACATTTTTAGTCAGGAAACACTTGTTTCAAATCACCTCACGAGTCTCCCACTTCCGGGTCCTCCAACATTTTCGTTACACCCTGTATATGCGGCACCAATATCGCAAGAGAAACGAATAATTTATGAAAGTGGATCTGGAGCGTTCTTTGAAAATTCATAACACGCGATTTCAAGAAAACTATACAATTGGATAGTGTGAATTTGCTTCTATAGCATTCAATAAATTTCATGAATTTTTATATTGTACTGAAACAACACTTTCACGCAGCCGTGAGCATATAATATAAGGAGAATTTACGATAAATATAGGAAAAGAATTTTTCTCGTCAACAAGTACGACATTTCCGTGTTAACATCTGAATCGTGGAACCACCATCTGTCTACGTACAATACCGGACACAAATATTCGTACACCCTTTAAAACAGAACAACTTTTTAAAAATTGGTCCAAATGACTTGAGTTCTGTTATGAAGTTAGGGACATTATTTTACTAAATGATCTGTAAAAAAAATTGAAATAGTTGAAATTGGTCGGAATCGCGAAGAAAATAGTATTGGTCGTTTTTTACAACTTTTTAATCTGAGGCTGTAATGAAAATTTAATAAATATATATATCGAAGAGTTATGTTAGTTATATACATGTTGAAAATTTTATCAAAATCAGTTACCGTTACTACGAGATACAAACGATTAAAAATGTTGGAAATCCCAGTTTTTCCCGACTTTCGACCTACAACTGTAGTACAGTAATTCTTCGATGAATGCGACACGAATAAAGGCGTTGTTACCATCACTGGGGGTTCTTTTTTTTGGAACCAATCAAAACTGAGTAAACAGAAACTAAGCAGAGGCTCTGTTTCGTGCAAATGACATATTTATGGGGGGCTGAAAACCTTTCCGCCTTGCCACCAATACTCCGAAGCAGACTCGAGTTCGTCGCACTCATCGACACGTTACTGTGAATCTAACAATTCTTACATCTTTTGATGCCTGTCGCTCGTTTCTGTATCAACCAATTTCAATGAAAGTTTCACTATATATATAACTAACATGAATCTTCATTATGTATTTATTAAATTTTCATTATAGCCTCAAATTAAAAAGTTGTAAAAAACGGCTTTTACTATTTTCTTCGCGATTCCGACGAATTGCAACTTTTTCAATTTTTTTTACACATCATTTAGTAAACTAATGTCCCTAACCTCACAAAAAAACTCAAGTCATTTAGACCAAGTGTAAAAAAGTTGTTCTGTTTTAAAGGGTATACGAATACTTTTGTCCAGTACTGTATGTCATTCTCGATTTTTGCGCTCCGATTGTGTTTCCCTTCGCCTCGTCGCCATTCAACCCTCACACACACATCCCTCACCTTCGTTTCACTTTCTCTTTTCTCCCCTTGTATCTATTCTTCAACGATTATTCAGTTCTCCTTGACTTCGTTGTCATAAGAAACGGTGTCCGCGTTTCGTACATATTTTTTTATGTGAATTGCATTTTATGCACGTCACTTTTTTTGAATATGTTTTTAGTAAATCTCGAGACAGGAATCGGTTGTGTTTCATGCAAAAGAGAGGATTGTACAGAATAAAAATAGAATCAGAAAAAGAAACAATGTTTTTGTTAAACATACGTAGAATATGCATTATTTTTTATACAATTTAAAATGTCCAAGTTTTTTACTTATCTTCTCATCTATTTAGTTTCAGTAATAGATGAAGCCGTAACAGATTCATAAATTGTTATTCGAGTAGATATACATATATTTTTCAGTCAAGAAATATATTATTATACGTTCTTTTTTTCGCCAGAACGAGATTCTCGTCTCAATATGGCACAGTGGTTCACTTGATCAAATATCTTTACGTAGAATAACATCCTTCGGAGTAATTCAGTTTAAACTGAAAGTGTGTGTTAAAGAAAAATTGATTTGCTCTATTAATTATTTTATAGAGAACAAGATATCGTAAATAAAAGATTCCATTAACTGCTTGTCGAAGACTGTAGATACTTACTTTATTATATGTCGAACCTTCATATATTTTGTACGTAGTAAAAAGTTGGTAATTTGTATATAACAAATCTACCTTGCAGAAACACGTAACGTGACAATACAATACCGAAACACTGACACCGTTGCATGGTGTGATATGCCAGGAGAGCTCGTCTAAAGTAGTTTTCCAGTCACGCCACCGCTTCGTTTCTCCAGTTTCTCTCCTACTATCGCTTACCTCATTCGTCAGCCATGATCAATGATCGAGACAAACAGAAAAAAAAAAACGTGAACAAAAAAAATATAAAAGAGTCGTCGGGCGACGAAGAAGAAAGAAAACGTAACTCGCGACGCTTCCCCGTTTTACTGTTTAATTTCTTCAATCTCCACTTACGTTGTTTTACACCTTTGCAGAGAAGAGATGGCGTCTGAGGTTCGGGGAGGCGGAATCGTAGCATCTCGCCTCCTCTGAATACAGACGTCTCGATCCGAGGCTTATCGATCAGAGACGAATTTAGCGGTGCTGAAACTAGCCGTTCTGGGAGCCGGAGCTAATTACATTTATGACGACGAACCGCCGAAAACGCAGAAGACGCGAACGATTTAAAAGTCCGAGCACATTCGTAAGGCATTTCTCAAAGTTTTCGTCCTTCGTTCAGTTTGTTCTGTTGATTTACTATCTAACATTTCGTTCACAGTTGTATTGCTTCCTTTTTCTTTCTTCTTCTTTCTTTTTTTTTTTTTTGGTTTGTTTTTGCACCACAAACTCGAAAACCACTTGGGAGGGTGATTTTTTTTTTAAGGAACGAAAGTGATCCGTTCGTTCACGCATATTACTGATTCACGATCACTGTTGACACAGATTGAATCTTGTAATTCAACAGAGTTATGTACTAACACTGCAGTCACAGGGAATAGTCACGGTAATCATTTTTCATTCCATAGACACATCGCTTTATACCATCGACACGTTACATTCTCTGCTTTTGCACGGTCGATCGTACCGATATCGTAGGTGGAATGATTGAAAACGAGTCTTGGTACGTTTCAAG